TTTGTACATACCATTAATTAAAGTACCAAATCCTACAGAAACAGAGTCTTTAAACAAACTAAAATTTGCACCAACAAACTAAAATTCAAATCCAAACGGTACTAGTTTAGAAACAGAAATTAAATTTTTAGAAAAAGATGGAATGTAAAAAGTGTTTTCAAGATCCAAAACAAAGCCATTTTTTAAAACAAGTCTCCAAATAAAACATGATAATTTCTAATTTCTAATTTCTAGAATTTATACAAAATAAGAGGACGCAATTTTTTTTATTTTTTATTTTAATGTTTGTCAATAAATAAAAATCAATACTTAATAACATAAAATAATTTTTTCCAAGATGAAATAGATTCAGAACATGAGTAATTTTAGATGTAAATACTACAATCACATAACAGAATGAATTCTACTAATCCCTCTAAGTAATTCATCATGCAATAATCCATCTTTGATAGACATCAAATTAATATTTTAATTCATCAAGTTTCATATACATATATTATAGCCAACAAAACAAATCGAACACACGAAGAAAATTATCATGTCAAAATCATATGGAACATGGGTCCAGCAAGTGTATAAAACAGAACGCAATGAGATTTGGTCTCCATAACATACAATAACGCTAAACAATAAGGACAGAAGGTGGCTCTGGTACCAATTGTGAGAATTAAAATAATTTTAATTCAGAAAGAATAATACCTCCTGCCATGATGTTCAAGCCTTTGAATCTTTATCCTTGAATGATCAAGTCTTGAATGTATAAACAAAACCTACTCACAGAACACTTTTATAGAACCATATGTGAAAAATGGAAATAACAGAGTTTCAAGCCTATTCTATTCACAAAATAACGTCTGTGTTTGATGACTATCACAGGCATATATATAGATAGGCTTGGACCCATATCTAAGTGTAACTCTTTATAACTTCCCACCATCAGGGAAGTTATAAAGTCCCATGAAACCACCATATGGGATAGTGAACAGACATTAGTTACCCATTAACCATTAAACTTATTAAATATATATAATAAATATATACATTAATAAATAAAACAAATATGTGGCATATGGGCTACTTTATGGATATTCTTACATTCTCCCACTTAGCACATATAATATACGATGTTGACTGTCGGGTAACTAACAAACAAATTATGGCCACTAAATAAAAATACCCAAACCTTAGAGTTATAATACACGAATCATGGTGGTTATACTCTATCAATAGAGTATTTCCTTCTATATATTAGATTGTATCACACTTTCAACTTTATGTGGTGTCATTCTTTATGAATAACTTTTAATAAGTTATTCTGGGTCCAATGATCCCTATGGATCAATAGTCCCAATGGACCGCATAACATCACAAATACTTTAGGTGCACAAAATGATGCTTTTCACTAACAATAATCAAAATGTCATGACAAAATAAAACAAAACAAAATAACAACTACAAAATTATTAAGCTAACCAATTAGTCCCATGCCTTCAACGTGTTTTGAAAACACCTTTACATAAAGACCTTTGGTCATGGGATCTGCAACCATCATATCGGTACTAATATGCTCAATGCTGACTTCTTGCTTCTTAACACGGTCTCGAACAGCAATATACTTTATGTCAATATGCTTGCTATGGCTGCCACTTTTGTTGTTGTTTGTTGTTGTTAGAAAAGAAAACTGTAGTTGAATTATCACAGTAAACCTTTAATGGCTTAGAAATTGAATCCACAATTCGAAGTCCTATAATAAAACTCCTTAACCAAATAGCCTGTGATGTTGCTTCAAAGCATGCTATAAACTTTGCTTCCATTGTTGACGATGCAATTATCGTCTCTTTAGTGCTCTTCCATGAAACAACACCGCCTGCTAGCAGATAGACATATCTTAAAGTGGATTTTCTGGAATCTTGACAACCCGCAAAATCCGAGTCTGAATATCCAACCACCTCAAGACAGTCAACATGCTTGTAAGTAAGCATGTAGTCCTTGGTTCCCTTTAAGTACCTCATGATTTTCTTTACAGCCTTCCAATGTTCCATTCCTGGATTGCTTTGGTATCTTCCAAGCATCCCAACTGCAAATGCAATGTCAGGTCAAGTACAAACCAGAGCATGCATTAAACTGCTTACGGCAGACACATAGGGAATGCTAACCATTTGTTCGTTTTACAAATCATTCTTCGGACATTGACTTAAACTGAATTTGTCACCCTTTAAAATGGGTGCTGCATTAGGAGTGCAATCACTCATCTTGAATTTCTCCAAAACTCTTTCAATGTAGGCTTTATGAGACAGTCCTAATGTTCTTTTGGATCTATCTCTGCGAATCTCTATGCCAATGACATAAGAAGCTTCACCCATATCCTTCATTTCAAAATTTTGAGAAAGAAATTGTTTAGTATCATGCAACAATCCCAAATCATTAGATGCAAGTAAAATGTCATCCACATATAGAACTAGAAAAATGTATTTGCTCCCACTAACCTTAAGGTATATACAGTTGTCCACAACATTCTCCGTAAAACCATATGAAGCAATAACATTATGGAACTTTAAATACCACTGTCGGGAAGCTTGTTTTAGTCCATATATGGATTTCTTAAGCTTGCAAACTAAGTGACTATCTTTATCAGAACAAAAACCTTCAGGTTTCTTTATGTATACTTCTTCCTCAAGATCCCCATTTAAAAATGCCGTTTTCACATCCATTTGATGTAGCTCTAAATCAAAATGAGCTACTAATGCCATGATAATTCGAAATGAATCCTTCTTAGAAACTTGAGAGAATGTATTATGATAATCGATGCCTTCTCTTTGAGTAAAACCCTTGGCTACAAGTTTGGCCTTATATCGTTCGAAATTACCATTTGAGTCTTTCTTGGTCTTATAGACGCATTTACAGCCAACAGCTTTAACTTCTTTAGGCAACTCGACAATTTCTCAAACTTGATTCTTAGCCATAGATTCCAACTCTTCTTTCATGGCATCATACCATAATTTAGAATCATCCCTATTCATGGCATTGGAAACGAAATAAGATCATTTTTAGGTCCAATGTCAAAATCAGACTCCATAAGTATACAAAATAATCACCAGAAATTGCTGACTTTCTAGCTCGTGACGATCTTCTTAATTCTGTAGTCTTAATTGGGACTTGAGCTACAGGCTCTATGTTGACTTGATCCTCTTGTGGTAGAAGTTCTTGAATTTGTTGATTTTCCTGGATATCAAGTTGATTATCCTGAAAGACAACCAATTCACCTATATTCACGGGTGTTGTATTTGGATCCTATGATTCCGTTCACTCTATTTTTTGAGGATAACTCCCACTAGGGTCAACTTCCTCAATAAACTTAGCATTTATGGCTTCAACAATTCTAAGTGAATTTGAAAAATAATAAAATCTATAGCCCTTGGAGTTTTTTGCATAGCTTATGAAAAAAACACTAACTGTTCTGGGGTCTAATTTCTTTAAATGTGGGTTATACACCCTCACTTCAACTGGACAACCCTAAACGTGTAAGTGTCTTAAACTTGGCTTCCATCATTTCCATTACTCAAATGGTGTTTTGGGAACAACCTTGGATGGAACCCTGTTTAAGATATACACAGCGGTTTTCAAAGCTTCACTCCATAAATTTATAGGCACATTAGAATAACTAAGCATGCTCCTTACCATATCCATAAGTGTTCGGTTCCTTCTTTCAGCAGCACCATTTTGTTGTGGTGTGCCAAGCATTAAATATTGTGCAATAATGCTTTCTTCCTTAAGAAACTTAGCAAATGGACTTGGTAATTGTCCCAATTCTATGTACCTCCCATAATATTCTCTACCCCTGTCTAACCTCACAATTTTAATTTTCTTTTCTGTTTGTTTCTCTATCTCTACTTTATAAACTTTAAAGGCATCAAGTGCCTCGGCCTTATCAAACAAGAGGTAGAGATACATGTATCGTGTAAAATCATCAATAAATGAGATAAAATATCTCTGACCATTCAGACAAGGCGGAGTAAATATTCCACAAATATCAGTGTGTATGATTCCAAGAATTTCCTCACTCCTTTTGGCACCTTTACTGGTCTTGTTGGTCTGCTTTCCCTTTATGCAGTCCACACAAATACCAAAGTTAGTAAAATCAAGAGTCAGAAGGACTTCATCATTAACCAATGTCTTTATTCTCTCAATGGAGATATGTCCCAATCTCCTATGCCAAATAATAGAAGGGGACTCATCAACAATATTACGTTTAATGCCAATATCACCATGCAAGGTAAAAAGATTTTGTTCAAAAACAAGATCTAGATTTAATTTGTACAAACCATTAATTAAAGTACCAAATCCTACAGAAACAGTGTCTTTAAACAAACTAAAATTTGCACCAATAAACTAAAATTCAAATTCAAACAGTACTAGTCTAGAAATAGAAATTAAATTTTTTGAAAAATATGGAATGTAAAATACGTTTTCAATATCCAAAACAAAGCCATTTTTTAAAACAAGTCTGAAAGTTCCAACAGTTTCGACGTGCGAACGCATCCTATTGCCCGAATAGATGCCTTATTCACTTCCCGTCAGTTTCCTTAGGCTGAGGAAGCCCTTCATGGTATTAGCAATGTGATTTGTAGAACCTGAATCAATCCACCAATCATAGTGATGAGTATTAACAAAATTAGATTCATAACACACAAGAGATATGAGATTACCTTTCTTCTCAAGCCATTTCTTATACTTGGAGCAGTCTTTATTCATGTGACCCTTTTTCTTGCAGAAGAAGCATGCATCCTTATTGCCGTGATTTTTAAATGGCACTTTAACAAGCTTCTTCCAAGTCTGATCACCTTTGCCCTTTTCCATTGCCCTCCTTTATGTGTTGCTAAATGAGCACTTTTCACTTTTTCATGCTTCAATCTCTCCTCTTCTTGAACACACATGGTCAAAAATTCATTGATAGACCATTTTTCCTTCTGTGTGTTGTAAGAAATTTGGAATGCTCCATATTACACATGAAGAGAATTGAGTATGAAATTGACAAGGAATGACTCAGAAATCTCAATCTCTAAGGACTTAAGACGAGCTGCAATGTCCCTCATTTCCATAATGTGCTCACGCACACTCCTAGAATTGTTATGCTTCATTCCTGATAGTTTGTTCATTAGGGTGCTTCCCAATGCTTTGTCAGAACTAACAAATTGCTCTTCAATAGCCCTCGTGTAGTTCTTGACCTTATCAGATGGTGAGATTGAGCCCCTAATGCTCTGGCTGATATGTGACTTTATGAGCATTAGGCTTAAGCAATTAGATCGCTCCCACTTATCATAAGAACTCTTTTCTACAGCGGAACTCTCGACCGTGGGTTCAGAAGGTTCATCCACACTTAGTGCTAGATCGAGGTCTATGCACCCTAATGTTAGAAGGATTTTGTCCTTCAAGTCCGAAAAATTATCACCGTTCAAGAATGGAATACAAAAAGACTCATTAGACAGTACAGAGGTAAAAATCACTGCAATTATCAAGAACATCATTAATACTTTGAAACAATAACTATAGTCTGAATCAACTAATGTCAAATTCAGTAATAAATCTAAATCTTCCTGTGGGTAGAGGTCACTAAATTGTATTAGATTTGCTATTACTTTATAATAAGACTAATGGGTTCAGAAATATTTAAGAAAAAGAAAACTGATACCTGTGGGTTTAGAGTGTTCAATCCTTTTAATACCCAATCCATTATCTTATTCCAATTAAATTTCATAAATAATTATTTCTTGTGGGATCAAGAAATTATTTATAAAGCATAATTGCAATGTAAAAATGCCAAATTAATTTTTAACTTTATGTGATCAAAATACTGAGGATTACATCTTTATGTCTTAAGATGCTGTGGCCACTCTAAAAATAGAATAATTTTTTTTAAATATGACATAATTTATTAATGTGAGCAACTCCTTATAGTCACAACAAATACATGATCTTTTAATGCACATAATATATAAAACATACAATCAGAGTAATATCACATGAAAAATCCCAAGACCAAACACATGTAATTCAACCTTATACTAGATTTTGCTTAAAATTGGACCAAAATAAATTCCATAAGCCCAACACATAGTGTGTATATGCTCTTATTTCCCATGAATTTTTAATGCATAAATAATTACCTTAATGCATGTAATATAATATTACATAATTTTAGATAACATGCCAATGAATCTAAAAATTATAAAAGAACATGTTATAATTCATTGTATGAAATTCAATTAAATTTGTTCAATACTTTCACATGCAACTACAATAAAATGTCTTTAACAACATGTCATTCCTACTATAATATTTAACAATAAATTAAATTGGCGTAGGTTTCAGAGGTTAAGGCTAAATATTGATCTACTCATAACCACATATACAGGACTAATTGTCTAATGCATATAAAGTTATTAGAATGCATAGTATTTGATCAATAGTAAAACCATAATCACAAAAGTCCAAAAAATAAAGGAAGCAATTATAAATCAATTTGATCTAACAAGATTTGACCTCCATAAATTACAGTAATGCTGAACAACAAACAGAAGGATGCTCTAATACTAATTGTGAGAACTAAAATAATATTAATTCAGAAATAAGAATACCTCCTACCATGATTGTCAAGCCTTTGAATCTTGTTCTTGAATGGTCAAGTCTTGAATAAACAAAACACACTCATAAAACACTTTCATAGAACCATATGGGAAAAATAGAAGGAACAGAGTTTCAAGCCTATTCTATTTACAAAAAAAAAAAAGTCTGTGTTTGATGGCTATCACAGGCATATATATATAGATAGGCTTGGACCCATATGTAAGTGTAACTCCTTATAACTTCCCACCATCAGGGAAATTGTAACGTCCCATGAAACCACCATATGGGATAGTGAACAGACATTAGTTACCCATTAACCATTAAATTTATTAAATATATATAATAAATATATCTATACTATGTATTAAGCAAAAGGGGGTTTTTAACCCCAAGACCTGTGGGAGCTTTAATATGCCAATCCTAATTTTCTAATTTTTTGTTTTTTTTAAAAAAAATTAACCTTAACATTTATTAACTTCTCTCAACCCACAAGACTTTTTGACTTCTCTCATAATTACTGCAGTATCTTTTCCAAAACAAATAATTTGTATATTAAAAAAAATTTAAAACAAATATATATATCTATATCTATATCTATCTATTTATTTATATTTATCTCTAACTTACAAGTTTTATGAGAGTTCCAATATCTGAACCTTAATTTCTTAATTTTTTTTTTTGAAAAAAAAAAACTTAGCACTTATTAAATTCTTCCAAGTCTTTTTAACTTCTCCAATACACACACTCTTTTTAACTTTTCATATACCTATTGCAAATCAGCATTTAAAATCCCCTCATACAAATAATTATAGATACAATCTGTGCATAGTTAATGCAGTACCTTTTTCAACGTCTCTCATACATTATGGTCAGTGATAAGATTGCTAAATTATTTTTATAAAAAAAATTTAAAAACATAATTTATATATTAAAAAAAATTAAAACAAATATAAATATCTATAATTATCCCGTGCATAGCACGGGTGATAGGCTAGTACATTAATAAATAAAACAAACATGTGGCATATGGGCCACTTTATGGATATTCTTACATAAAAATCTATCTATTTATCTATTTATCTATATATAAATCTCTACATCTATATATCCAAATTAGTGCTTTTTATCATTTAGGTCTTGCTTATTTTGATTAAATAACTCTCTCGATTTAATAATTTGTGTGATTTTGTGTCGAGGCAAAAAAATTCCATCATGGTTTCCTCAAGTGGGACATCTTCAAGGTCATCTCTTCTTCAGAACCTACGTTCTGAGAAAGATCTTCAGATTTTGATGGAACAAAGGGTATTTTTGTCTTTTCGTGCTCAAATGAAGGGGTAATATAGTTATTTTGTATAGACAAGTAACGTTGTTTGTGCCAAATTGACGAATTGGAAGAATCTTGAAAATTGTCAATTAAAATATGAGAAATTGCTGTAATTATTGAAATCATAGAAGAAGTTTCTGTATTTATAAAAAATTTTAAGGAAGATAAGTATAATTTATCCAAAAAAATTTCCTTGAAGCAAGTTTGGAAACTTGTAGAAAAAAAATTTCACGATGCACCCACCCACTATGTCGGTAAATTTTTTATTTTTTTATTTTTTCTCTGTCCAACTATTAAGTGATTTGACATTCTGAAACTATTTTGATTATAGGATTATGAGAAGTCAAACTAAATATTAATTTTTGAGATTAAATATTATTTTTTAAAGGGTTTAGTTTCTTTTTGGTTGGAGAGAAAAAAAAAAACTAATTTATAAATTTACGAAAAAATTAAATTATTTTGATAATTGTAACCATATAATTTTATAAGATTTATGTTAAAAAGGTAGATAATTATTTTTCAGATTATACGTTTACCTTTTAAAAGATAAATTTGATAAAGTTAATTTTCTACAGTTTTAAATTATTTTAAAATTTTTAGTAAATTATGTAAACAAAATAAATAAAATACAAGATTTGTAATGGAAATAATTGTGAAAAATGATAATCACAACACTTCTAGATCATCATGTGATTGTACTTGAGAAGCGCTCAATAATTATGGTTGTGGTTTGTGTGGTATACCATAGTTTCACATGATATTTTAAATTATTTATTTTTTTGAGTTTGTATTCATTACTAATGATAAAATCATATTAATCTAATAATTTTAATTATATGATTTTATCATATCAATTTGCAAAGATTGGATATGAGTGTAATATTTATTTTGTTGAGTTTTGTCTATGGATTATTAATGAAAAAAAATCAAATTTGATAATTTTAATTACATAATTTTATTATATTTATCTTTGAAAAATTAGACAATTTATTTTAAAAATTATATTTATTGTTTATTTTAAAAACAAGTATCGTGAATTAATGTGTCATTAATTGTCAAATTATCTAATATGATCATTACATAAAATCTTACAAAACAAATAGGGTTGTTATATATTAGGTGTTTATTTCACCATCATTTTAAACTACCATCTATAAGGCAATATATCATTTGTTTGCATTAATTCTCAATAATTATTTTCTAACAAGAGAATTAATTATAAATATTCATATAATCGGTAATAAAAAATAATGATAAATAAGTTTTCTTCAAAACAAATAGTTAAAGACCCTGAAAAAGAGAGGTGTAATTTAAATATAATAATTATTGAATAAAATCTACACTTAAAATAAATCAAAATTACACATTATATTTTATAAATAAATTTTGAATGAATAAAATCTATACCTAAAATAAATCAAAATTACACATTATATTTTATAAATAACTTCATAGAAAAAAGAAATCCCCCTTTGTAAAATATGAGAATGAAATCTTAGGGGTTGTTTGGAATGTCATAAGTACACTTTTTATCTTTTTAGACTAAAAAATGAGAAAAAAAATATAAATGTTTGGGTTAATTTTTTGACTTTTTAAGAAAAAATATGTATTAAAAAATTATAAAAATTAATTTATAAGAAAAAATAAAAATTAAAAATTATGCAATTATAATTATTAACTTTTAATGAATACTATTAATTTTTTGACTTTTTAATTTTTTCTCAATATCTCAAACATGACCTTACTTTTAGGTTATTTGGATTCTGACAAAAGAAAAAAATAGAAAATTTTTCTTAAAAGAAAACATTAAAACATTAAATTCAACCCAATCTATTTTTATCAATTAAGTCCGTACGTTTAAGAAAAAAGGCTAAAAAGTGAGAGTACCTTTTTGAGGAGGGACCGAGGTGGTGATAGCAAGAAAAAAGTGGAGAGCCCCCATCTTTTTCTTTCGCGAAAGCGACAGGGTCCCACCACCCTCTCTCTCTCTACACTTTTCTCTCTCTATCCTGCACTTTTCATCACTTTATTATTATTTTTATTTCTTCTCACAAGAAAAATAAAATAAAATTATTCAACATAATTACAAAAAAAAAAAAAGACCCAGAACTTAGAGAGACAGAGAGAGAGAGAGAGAGAGATTCTGGAGAGGCCGATCTAGATTTTAAATTTTTGTTGTTGTTGTTGTTGTTGCTGTTAGGGATTTCTGGGTGTGAAAGTCTGTAGAAAGAGCTCTCTACTGTTGGGCTTTTTGTCCACTATTTTCGCCTAAAAATAGGTACTTTTCGTTCATTTTTTTTTTTTAAAAATTTCGTTTTTATGTGATTTGATTGTGTTCTGTTTGATGATCTGTTTGTGCTGCGTGAAAAATGGGTTTTTTTTTTCAGAATTTTTCAGTTAAATATTTGTGTGTGTACATGTATGCCTTTCTTATCTTCTTCTGTGTTGTGCTATTTTTATTTTCTTCTTTCTGGGGTTTTTAGAAATATTTAAGAGTTACAATAACAATTGAGGATTTGGATTCTGAACCCTTTGGATTGGGAATTCAGATTTTTTTTTTCCCACAACATGTGAAATCACAGCTTCAGACTGGTGAGTTTAAGCTACAGTTCTCTGTAATTTTATGATCATAAATAAATTTGTAACTCTTTATTTTTCGTGATGGAAATGCTTATATATATGTGTGATAAGATTAGGAAGGATCGAATTAGGACTAATTGAAGATAAGTTAAGAGAACATGTTGAATTGTGGGTTTAGTCCTGTATAACATGCAACGCTGTAAGAAAGAGCAAATTGATCACCATAAATGAAAATGTAATGGGGATGGGAAGATCTAAACATACATGGATGTGATAGTAAAAAATATATCAATTTATTTGATTTAACTGAGCATGCAGAATGTTGAAAAAAATTCATGTGGCCGACCTTATTTGATTGGGACGCGAAGTGTAGTTTGGTTTTGTTCGTGTTGTGGAATTCTAGTTTTTTCTTTTCATGCATCTGTTGATTTTCTCATATTTTTGAATTCTAGATGCTCAATAAGTTGGGGTTCATTTTTTTTTTTTAATCTTTTCTCAGAATTTATTTCTTGTTAACTCTTATGCATTTTGGAATATCCATCGTTTTCATACACACATTAATCTGTTTTCCCAGGGTGAATCGATTTTTCTATTTACCATTTTCCTCGTTTTTACTTGAAGAAAATTCTATTACAGCATATCCATGCAATTCAGAGGTGGAAAAAACCCAATTTTCTCATTAACTTACATGTTGGCCTGTTTAATGCAGATTAGTTTACCTCATAATGGCAAGGAAATGGAACTCTGTCCAGTATCTGTGTTCAATATTGTTTGTGGAATCATGTTCATCTAAGAAGCTGTTTGGTTATATATAATTTTGGCAAGAGGTTTGAAAATTTGAAAAATCACAAAGTGTTCTCTCTCATTGGAATAAATTTTAATCTACTAGAAGAAGGGTTTGTCGAAACATGGGTTACATATGTGATTTCTGTGGGGAGCAAAGATCGATGGTGTATTGCCGATCAGATGCGGCCTCCTTATGTTTGTCCTGTGACCGCAATGTCCATTCTGCAAATGCCCTTTCGCGACGTCATTCCAGGACCCTTGTGTGTGAAAGATGCAATTCACAACCTGCATTCGTTAGATGTGTTGAAGAGAGTATTTCTCTTTGTCAGAATTGTGATTGGTTGGGGCATTCTGGCTCTACCTCAGGTTCAACACATAAGAGGCAAGCAGTTAATTGTTATTCCGGTTGCCCTTCGGCTTCGGAGCTCTCTTCAATCTGGTCATTTGTTTTAGATATTCCTTCTGTGGGTGATTCTACGTGTGAAAATGGTCGGAGTTCGATGAGCATTACTGACAACAGCCTGACAAATGTTGGCGGCTCTTTGCAAAGTGATGATGGGCAAGATGGGTCTGTCTTAGTTGAAGGGAATGATGTAAAGAATATTGATAAGTCGAGTGTTTGGATGGGGTCATCTTCAATGCCTCAACTGAACATCAAGCCACAAAATTTAGAGCAACCGTTGGGATTGGCAAGTTCAACTTCATCCAAGGTAATTGATGAATCCTTGTCATCAAGAAAGATAAAATTTTCTATAGAATATCTCAGACATATTTGCTTATATTGTATGGAGAACCTTCCATCAGAATTGTGAAATGTATTGCCGTCTTGTGGGACGTGTGTGTGTTTTGAATTGTTACAGGCTTTTTATCTTACAATCCTTAGCTGAATACTTTCAACTTAATATCGCTAAAGATTTGAACAATAAGCATTCCCTCCTATTTGATGCTTTGAGTTCCATAGTTGAAGTCGTGATTGGTTCTTTTCTTCCATTTCCTGCAACATGCTTTCAAGAGTACTTTGTCCTTCGAAGGATACATCTAAGACTCCCTTGCCCCAAATTTTTTTTTTTCACTTTCTTTTTGGTTTAAGCTTATTTGACTGATAAATGCACATCGGCATGTATACTTTTGGCTAGCAAACGTTCTTGTACACAGGTGTTGATCGCTGCACATATGCACCTTGCCGGAGGCATCATTGCGTAAATGGAACTGCAATATTTTACGAAGTTATATATACGTTTTCTTACATCTGTCACGTGACTCACCTTTAGCATCCACTCGTTTGACTCCTTTTGATTCGAAGATTAGGTAGATAGCTTTGACTGTAATTTTCTGGCGGCTGTAACTTGGTAGCAAAGGGTCATAAAACACCAGCAGTTGGGCATTATACAAATGTAACTCATCTTGTATTGAGGTGAGTAATAGTCTATGAAACATGCACGAGCCCCAGACTTTCATGGCGTAGATGAGAGGAATACACCCCTATATAAAATTTTGTCCTCTTTATCCTGATATTGAACCCTGCTCTAACTAATCTGAATTCTTCTAATTAACATGCAGATGTGCTGTCCTGGAACAAAAGCACCTGGTCTATGTGAAGACGATGGATTCTATGAGGATTTTAATATGGATGAAGTTGACTTGAATATTGAGAACTATGAAGAACTATTTGGTGTAGCTAATCCATTCGGTAACGATGGAATTGACAGCTTGTTTGGAGTGAAGGAAATGTCTAGTGCTGACTTGAACTCTCAGGGCTATGCTGCTGAGGTTCTCTTGCCTTCCCCATTTTGCTTAATGATATTCTTATTATTCTTATCAGCTGTGATCTTCTCATCAGTTTTTTGTTTTGGTGCTTTATCTCTTTCTGGTTTAGTAGTGCGTCAATGCATAGTTCTACATCTTCTTCTTATTGTGCTATGAGAAATGGGACTTTGTCAATAAAATTTGCTATCTTTCCCGTCTACCAAATTATAGTTAAATGGAGTGCTGTTGGTGGATATGTTTTTTTTTTTTGGTTGTCCTTTTTCCTTTTGGTATGTGCTAATTTCACATGGAAATATTGAGAAGATTAATCTTTTTGACAATAAATTTGTGCTTTGTGTTTAACTTTGTGTTCCTTGCTGGGAATATCTTTCCTATCCTGTATATCAGTGTATGGTTGTATGAATTCTTCTTTTTATTATATAGAGAGGTTAATAGAACTTGATATTAATACCAACCATATCTGACTTGTCCCTTGCTTTCAGTATGGACCTTTGTAAGGGTAGTAATGTTCATTGGCAATGTTAAATTATCCCTCACTTTCAGTGTTTGATGGTAAATGCAACTTAGGTGCCTGCATTGTATGAATATACCTTCCAATTAAATTGTTGACCACAAACTCATTTAAAAAAAGTTGTTAACCACTAACTTATCTAAAAGCTTAACCTGTCAGAGAGAGGGATAACTTGATTATTTATTTCTAGACTCCCCATAAATGGGTCAAGCATGTGCAAGTATTATAATTGTTAGATAAACAGTGATGTTCAAGTTTAGGATCCATTTTCTGCTCTAATATTGTGTTGAATTGTTGACCGGCAATTCAAGTTGCTAGAGAGAGGGGTTAATTATCTATGCCCTCAACACTTCCTGAAAGACTGATGTGTGATGTCAACTTGATATTTGCTTTTATAAACCTTCCTTAGAAACCTCCACTAGCTTACTTACACCTCAAAAAAATTCTTGAAATTTCAATTTGTGCCTTTGGCATTCCAATTACTTCTCCTTGCACTCCAAAGTTTGGAGTCATGAAAATGCAAGTGAGCTTGGAAAGCTAAAGTGGTGTTACTTTATTTCATAAACCAGTATCCAAAAGAGGTTTAAAAGAAAGATTTTTTTGAGCTAAAATGCAAATTTTTTGGTTAAGTACAAGATTTCAGGACATGGGATGCGAATTGAAGCATGCTATAATATGTAATATTGTTGGCCCCGCATCTTGATTCCTTTTTCATTTGTGAGTTTGTTTTGTGTCATGTGATGTCCCATAATATATACCCTCTCTCATCTTCTATAGATCCTGATTTGTTCTTGCGGGTTTAAATAAAATGCACTTACTTTCGGACGTTGCTTATTTTCCCCAGGGGTCATCAATTGGATTGGTTAGTGCAATGCATCCAGATTGCAGCACTGCGGCATCTGCTGATTCTGTGATGAGCTCTAAAACTGAGCAAAACCTTTGCTATACAAGGCAACAATCCAACCTCTCATTTTCTGGTATTACTGGAGAGAGTGGTGCTGGAGATTATCAAGACTGTGGTGCGTCTTCAATGCTTCTCATGGGAGAGCCTTCATGGTGCTCTCCGTATCCTGAAAGTTCTTGTCCTTCAAGTAGCAGAAGTAGTGCTGTTTTGCGGTACAAGGAAAAGAAGAAGGCACGCAAGTAAGAGTATAGCAGTTTTATGTCTTTCTTTTTCTTTTTAAATAAATCATTTTGGTTAAATAATGGTGACCGTCCATTATGTTAACCTGCCCTTGTTCGGTATTCCTGTGAGATGCCCTTGCATCTTTTCTCTATTGATAGTTTTAAATTGGGATGATTACCAATAAGTGTTCACTTTTCCCTCCATATTTTCATCATTTGGACAACTAAGTCTTATTTTCTATAACTTCTCCCAAATTGGTTCAGAACTCTATAATAGCAATTTTTTCCGTCTAATTTTACCCTTCAGCATGTGTACAAATTTTAATTGCTCTTTGAAGGATGATAGATGGGTGCTGCTACTCTACGTTACACGGATTCATGTCCGGGTATCGGGTGCAAGTATGTATCTGGGGATCATACACTTTAAAATTAAAAATTAAGAATACGTAGATATGGATCCAAATTAGGATACGGGTACAGGGATACGTTAAATAGTTATTTTTAAATATATTTATTAAATGAAGATGAGTTTAAAAAAGTTAAGGAATACCAAATTTTATTAAAGAAAAAACAAATAAATAATAAATAAAAATTATAAAAATTATTTTAGACATCAAATAAATTATATTATATATGATAAAATAAATTATTTTAATTTTAGGCATAAAAGTAATGTTATTTATGATATATTATATTATATAATATTTTTTTGGGTAAGTAATATTATATAATATGAATAATATTATATTAATATAGTTTATATTATATATAATTCAAATTATATTAAAAAGAAGAGACAAAGACTGATCAAAAAAAGAGAGAGACAGAGAGAGAGAGAGGAAGAGACGAGAAGAAAACAGAAGAAGAGAGAGAGAGATCGAGATCAAAGGGGAAGCCAAAGGAACACAGTAGATCAACTTCGCAGATCAAGTTTCGCAGTTGATCAATCAACTTCGCAGATCGATTGATCAACTCTGCAATCAAGTCAAATTGAAGTCAGTGACCAGGTTCTCTCCTTGCTCTCTCCTCTTTCGTTTCTTTTGCCGGATCCGTTTCTAAGGAGCCATATCCCGCACCCGCACCCGCACCCATGCCGTGTCGTGTCGTGTCGTGTGGACACGGGTACCTCCGAAATTCCAAAGAGTCTGTGTAACGTAGCTGTTACTAGTTCTACTAGATTTTTATTTATTTTTTTATTTTTATTTATTTTTTTTGGGGGGGGCGGGGGTTGGGTTAAACATCATAGACACTCTTGATATTGAATAAAAATATACAAGCACCCTCTGACATTTCTAATATATAGACCCTTTGAAATTAGGAAATTGTATCAGCCGCACCTCTATTATGGAGTTTTGAACTTTTGGGGGAAATTACAAAAAATTGGACTTAGTTGTCCAAATTGAAAGTTAATAGAACTTGATGGTAATTTGGAGGGAAAAGTATCTTAATTGGTAATTTTTCCTTTTTAAATTTCCAATTATTGGCGGTCATGGGTGTTGTTAGCTCAATAACTTTGTGCCTCGGTTTTTAACTTAAATGTTCTGATTCCCAAGGGAAGAAATTTCTACTTCAATTTTTTTGGTTTCTCATAATTGACTTATGTTATCATAGATTTGACAAGAAGGTTAGATATGCCTCTCGCAAGGCCAGGGCTGATGTAAGGAGGCGTGTGAAGGGTCGCTTTGTCAAGGCTGGTGATGCTTATGATTATGACCCATTGAGTCAAACAAGGAGCTGCTGAGAGCACAATTTCATACCATTCTTACGAGGAAAAGAGTGATCGATGTTAAGTTGGAAATAATTTGACAAATTGTGTAAAGGTGAATGTTGAATGCTCTTTCTCATTGATTTACCAATGAAATTCAAGACGAGAAATCTGATTCTCTAACAGCAGAAAGAATGGATGAATCAATGAAGTGTGAATTGCTGTTTACTCTCTTAAGCGTGATTTATCCCTCTTGTCTGAGAGGAAGTCTGCATGCTTTTCTCAGTTGGAACCGTGCTGAGTGTACGCTATGTGAACTATTTCTCTTAAAAATTTTGTTCTTGTATTAGTTGCGTCTCTAAACTGTGACCTTGGTATGATCGGTAACCAAATTCAGTTGCCAGGTCAGACTGAAAGCTTCTTCGTGTAATATTCCTCTGCTATTTCTATGTGACTCTGTATAGTTCAGGATCAATGCTTAGATTAGCTAGGAAAGGGCACGATAGGTGCCAAAATGCAGTTTGTCAGAAATTACTAGCAATTGTAATTTCTCTCTGTTTTTCAGCTGGCATGTAAAGCATAAATCATTACACTCTAGTTGGTGGAGAATCGCAGTATGTAATAATCGTAGTTTGTAATAAACGTGTAGCAGTTTGTTTAGCACTGATGAAATTTTGCTTGTCTGACTTATCGTGAAGAGGTTCTCATTGATAAAGATTGTGAAATGTTTTTGTATTAATCCCACCTCCACCAGTACAGTTATCAGGTGTGAATTGCAGGTCGATCTATCTAACAAAATTATTTGTTCACAAGATTGTACTTGATCTTTTGTGAGCAGGACACAATTTTGTTTATTTATTTATCTTTTCAAATATTTCATGACATGTTTGGCTGTTTGTGTTGACCACTTAATGGACCTCTTTTGTGAGGCTACAACCTCTAGCATGATGATAGATTGTTTGAATTGGAAAACCTTTCATCTTCTATGGGGGTTCTAGGCATTTTATATCAAAGTGAAGTGCTTCTGCTGTGTTGATCTTCCTTGCTGGGAATCACTGTGGAGCTTTTTTTATTTTTTATTTGAATAATAATTTTTAATTTTTTATGCATTTTGCAAGGTAAAGCAACCATTTTGTGCTCGGGTGTGCATATGCAAGAATGTTTACAATGTGCTCAATCAACTTCAAGTAGAATTTTCCTTTCCATTTTCTTCACAAAAATAATATTACTAAATGAATATACTTCATTGTGTTTTCCATCATATTTTTTCACATAAAAAGTCATGCAAGTGATATGTAAAGCAATTAAAATCATTGTTACAAATCAAAAGAAGTGCCTACCAAACCGGATTATCAATAATTTCCTCTGCACTAAATTTGAGTTGGAACACATTAAATTAAACCACTTGGTGCAAACCACTAATCCTGAATGGAATGCGCTTCTGGTGCAGCCAGTCACCGAACCATATAGAGAGAGATTTAAACCACAGAATAATGTGAAGCAAAAACGATCGATCAAAATTCACTTGAAACGTCCATCCATCTGGTATTTGACTAAATACACATCACAAACTATCTCCATGACGGAGAGGAACCTTCCTTGGACATCAACAACAAAGCTCATCACAGCTCCTTCTGAAGTTTCATGAAATTAGTCAACATCCTCTGATGAACTATCCGATGACATCCTTCCAATGTCATCGTCAGCTACAGTCGTTTCCTGATTTTGCATGTTGCAGATATAAATTCTATTAGTGTTAAAAGAGATCATTGCTGACCTGTGTCACTGTGTGTGTATGAGAGAGAGAGAGAGAGCATTGTTAGAAGTTAATTTGTGTGAATGCAAAATGTCAAATTCTTACGTGCATCTTATCCCAGTTCTTTAACTTGGGATTTGTTAGCATGTAACCATCCTGCAATGGAGCCCACGAAGGAGCTTCACCATCCACTGTGCCTGTCGATGTAGAAGCCTGCATGTGACAAAACATTCAAGTTATTCAAATATGTGGAACCAAATGAACCCCACGATCCCAGCTCACAAAATGGCCAATTGCAACATTTTGTGCATAATCAATGAATAAAGTCACAGAAAGGGGTCCAGCAGAACAGGTGAGAGAGAGAGAGAGAGAGAGAGAGCCAACCATGGTAAGAGTTCCAGGTGCTTGTGATGATGTCTTGCCCAACTCTGAAAAGAAGGCATCTTTCCTCCGCTTCCTTATTGCTGGCAAGTTTAAAATATGCAGGTAAGAATTGCAGCAAAAATCTTTAAGCAACAGTAGAAAGTCAAGTGTAATTCATTTGAACAATGGGGAATAAGGGATAATTATGGGGAAGATAATACTAATTGGGAGCATGATTGTCATGTTTGTTTTATTATCTTGAGGATGTGCCAAGAAGCACAGCAATGCTACTACTTAATATCTTCAAAAATATGGAAGGTGCAAATCTTTTCTTGTGATTGTGTTTCTTAGCTGTAGAGAAGAATAGTGGCCAGAGGAGCTATTGACTGCAGTTGAACCAATTTTGGCACCCAGGATAAGAGCTCACCAGTCTCACTCAGCACAAGGTTATATAACTGCGAACAAAATTATCAGCACATTACAATGTTATTTCTGGACTCACAGTTCAAATGTCTAAAACCTTTTTTATGTTTTTTCTCTTGCAATACCTCCTACAAATCCAACTTTTCAATGGTAAAAATTTCCATTGCTGTTTGCGACCTACTTTTCAACTTGATTGGAAAGAAGCGTGGAGGATTATTGGAAGCTGATCGAAGAACCAAATCCTTCGAAAATCTTTTTGAAGCAAGATTGAAGTTAAGGGGTTACGAGTGTGGATTTCTGCCAGCGATCTTGGAGTTAGAGATGGCTGGGTTCTCTGTTAAAGTCCGACTTAAACCTTTATCAAGACCTGTTAGGAAAAAGGAGGATCATCAGCAATGGATTTTCCAGCAAGATTTCTCAGGCAGCTCAAGTGGCGGAAGTGGGGAAGATGAGAAGTCAGAAGGGACAGGCATCACACGTGGCAAAGACGACAGGGCAAGACAGATCGTTCAAAGAGTGGTTGCGCTGGAATCAAAAAGGCGCCAGACAATCAGCTGAATGATTCTGCTCTTTGGGCATCGGGTAAGGAGGGAAGGAAGGAGATACAGGGGATTGGGCTGGGTGATGGGCTTAATAATGATTTGGCCCAAGGTTTAGCAAATGGGTTACATGTGGATGGTGGGTCAACACCAGAAATGTGTCATCGTTTAGAGAGATTGGGCCAAATCGTGGTCCAGTCATAAGACCTATGGGCCAATCTTCTCAGACCCAGGGTTTTACTGTCACACGGAGGGATATTGGGCCAAACACTACTAATGGTTCACACATTAACAACAACAAAGTTAGGCTGTATTCTAGGGCAGTTGTGGGTACGCCTCATGGGTCGGGTCATGAGGAATCACCAGCTAGGGATTTTGCTCAGTCGGTCAAGGAGCTCGGTGGAAGAGAAAGCGAGTCAACAAGAGCTTTTGAGGAAGACAATGCACAGTGTAATGGGAAGAGGGTCTTAGACGACCCAAATTCACACCTTAACGAGGCTGAGACCCAACTGGGCTTGGCGGATATTGTCAATAGATCAAAAAGTAACGCACTGCTGTGTGAATTCTCGAAAGGAGGATGCGACATGGACAGGGAGGTTGAGCTTCACGATGATAAGGCCAATGGAATCAAAAGGCTAGTGTGTGATGTGGAGGAGGGGGAATTTATTCCCCATGAGGTGTTGCAGGCTCTCGATGAGTATGGGTCGACTGATAGCTCTAATGAATCAATCGATCCAGCTGAAGATGAAAGCAACAAGGTTCGAGAAGGAGGACTTTGATCCTAAGCTCAACTAGCTTTCCCAAGATGAAGAGATTTCGACTTCCTCTTGTAAGGAGTACACTGAGGTATCAGATTGTGAGAAGGCCCTCAACTTCAGTTCAACTGAAAAGGTATGTGACTCTTTTGAGCAGGACAACATGATTTCTTCACTTTCAAAACATAACCAGAGTCTTCATTCTAAGTCAAATCTCTATGGAAGGGGTGCAGGATGTTCCTGGTTCTTTATAGTCCAATAGAATGGTACCATTGGGGTTGATTCTGTGTCGCATTTACCCTCAAACAAATGTATAACCAATGACTGTGTAACTCATATTGAGATTAATGAGGAATGTCAGACGAGTGGTTGTTCGAGGGAGATTTCTAGCAACCATAGGCTTGATGAGAACAGAGTTTGCAGGGAACAAGTAGATGAGACAGAAAGGTGGTTGAGAAACATGAGTAAGTATGTATCCTTCCCCCTAGAAGAGGGGGATGTGTCTTATTTTGCAAATTTACTAGATACCTTAGGGTTATCTTTGGCGAGGAACCATGGAAAGAAATCCAGAAGTAAGAAGAATGTACCTGCGATTAGGGGGGCAATAGTCGTAGGACTATTGGGCAAAAGAGATGGGCAAGGGAGTTGAGGAATCTTGAAAGCGGTATTAATTACGAGGGAAAAGATAAAGGCGTAAGGGGCAATGATCGTTTTTAATGAAGATTCTAAGCTGGAATGTTAGAGGACTAGGGTCCTATAGAAAGAGGGCAGTGATTAAAGAATTCTTGAAAGTTTATCAGTCGGATATTGTGATGCTTCAGGAGACGAAGAGTGACTTGTGTGATAGGTCTTCGATTAAGAGTATTTGGGGGTCACATTTTCGTAAGTGGGCTATTTTACCTTCCTGTGGGAGATCGGGGGGAATTTTGATCATATGGGATAAAAGGGTAGTGACGGAGTACGAGACAATTCTTGGGGAATTTACATTATCCATCAAGTTTAGAAATTATGATAATAGTGAACGGTGGTTATCAGGAGTCTATGGACCAAATAGGCCTAGTGCCCAACAGGGTTGGTGGGAGGAGCTAGCCGGGTTATTTGGGCTTTGTTCTCCAAATTGGTGTGTAGGTGGGGATTGATTGATCTTCCACTAAGCAATGCGGGGTTTACTTGGTCTAACCTTCAGGATAATTTAGTGTGTAGTAGATTGGATAGATTCCTTCACTCATTGCAATGGGAAGAGTTGTTTCCTAATTTAAGACGAGAGGCTTAGCCAAGGGTCGCTTCAAATCATTGTCCAGTGATTTTTGAAAGTTGTCCTTTTAAGTGGGGACCGACACCTTTTAGGTTTGAGAATGTGTGGTTGGAGCATCGGGCATTTAAGGAACACTTTAGGGAGTGGTGGGTTAGTTGCAAAGTGCATGGGTGGAAGGGATTTAGATTTATAAGAAAGTTGAGGGGGATAAAGGAAAATTGCGAGTGTGAAAACGGGAGGTTTTTGGTGATTTGTCCGAGTCTAAAGTGGAGCTGGTAAGGAAAATTGACTTAGATTTGAAGGAGTCCATAGAGGGCTTGGCCGAGGAGTTAAGGGAGGAAAGATGTATGATGAGAGCGAGGTTGGAAGAGTTAGCTTTTAAGGAGCAAATGTTTTGGAAACAAAGGGCAAAGTTGAAATGGGCAAAGGAGGGTGACATTAATTCAAGATTTTTTCATAGAGTTGCGTCAGGAAAAAGGAGGAAAAGCTTCATCAAGTCTTTGGAGATTGGCCAGGGGACAATGATAAATAAAGAGGATCAAATTGTTGATGAGATTTTTAAGTTTTATTCGAATCTCTATTCTAATGGGAGAGTGGATCAACCAGGGATTGAGGGTATCGAATGGAAACGTATGGAATCACCTAGAGCTAGATGGCTTGAGAGGCCTTTTGAAGAGCTTGAGGTGTATCAGGCAATTTTTGAATGTGAGAGAGATAAAGCCCCAAGGCCGAACGGTTTCTCTATGGCAGTCTTACAAGACTGTTGGGATATAGTGAAAGATGATCTTGTGGGAGTGTTCGGATAATTCTTAGTTAATCTTTGCACTAATGCATCTTTCATAAGTTTGATCCCTGAGAAAGAGAGATCAGTGAAGATTGGGGACTATAGGCCTGTTAGCTTGGTTACATCTCTCTACAAAATTTTGGAAAAGGTGCTTTCAAGGAGACTTCGAGATGTTTTAGGAGGGACAGTTTCTTCGTCACAAGGAGCGTTTGTGCAAGAGAGGCAGATTTTGGACGTGGCTTTAGCAGCCAATGAAGTAATGGAGAAATATAAGAGATTGCACAAGGAAGGAATTTTATTTAAGGTGAATTTTGAAAAAGCATATGACCATGTGGATTGAGGGTTTTATGGATTTTGTCATGGAAAATAAGGGCTTTGGAGAAAGGTGTAGAAAATGGATTTAGGGGTGTGTGTCTTCATGCAACATGTCTGTTATTGTAAATGGTAAAGTTAGAAAGTCCTTTCAGGCATCTAGGGAATTGAGGTAGGGGGACCTACTATCCCCTTTCCTTTTTATTTTGGTAGTGGATGTGTTAGGAAGATTGATGGACAAGGCGAAAGAAAAAGGTGGGATTGAGGGTTTTGTGGTGGGTAAGGATACGATATGTGTCACTCATCTACAATTTGCGGGCGATACCATGTTTTTTGTTCAAAAGATAAGAGAAAAGTCAACAATCTTCTCGCACTCTTAAGGGTTTTTGAAATAGTCTCGGGACTTAAAGTCAATCTCACTAAAAATAGTGTAGTAAGAATCAACTTGGGAGTCTAGTTATGTGTAGAATTTGGCGACCATCTTGGGATGTCCCATTGAAAATTTTCCTTTAAAATATTTGGGATTATCATTGGGAGGAGATCCTAGGTCAGAGACTTTTTGGGATCCTATCCTTGTTAAGATTGGGAAAAAGTTGGAGGGATGGAAGAGAGCGTTGTTATCTAGAGGGGAAAGATATACTTTGGTGCAACTCGTGTTGAGTTGTATCCTTGTATACTTCTTGTCGTTATTTAAGATCTCGGTTAGAATTGCTAGAAAGATTGAGAAGTTAATGAGGGATTTCTTGTGGGAAGGGTGTGATGAGGTTCAGGTTCCATTTAGTTAGATGGGTGTGATGAGATTTAGGTTCCATTTCTTGTCATTGTTTAAGATCCCGATTAGAATTGCTAGAAAGATTGAGAAGTTAATGAGGGATTTCTTGTGGGAAAGGTGTGATGAGGTTTAGGTTCCATTTAGTTAAGATGGGAGGTTGTCACTTTACCTAGAAATAAGGGGGTTCTTGCCATTGGGAATGTTATTGCAAGGAACATTGCTCTTTTAAGCAAGTGGTTATGGAGATTTCCTCTCGAAAGCGATTCATTGTGGCATTCTATTATTAAAAGCACGTATGGTGTTCAGGTCAATGGTAGAGATTCTGTTGTGGTTAATAGAGGCAATTATCAATCACCATGGAAATCTATTTCTCGCTTATTACCTATCGTGTCTCCATTCTTGTCTTTGAAAGTGGGTAATGGAGAAAGTATGTGTGAGTGGGAGAGTCCTCTTTTGATAGAGTTTTTCCGCTCCTTTATCTCGATTGGTTCGAGTTTAAAATGTGTCAATTGCATCGGTGGCATGTTCTAATTTGGCACCAATTTCTGGGAACTTCAATTTTATAAGAAATCTCAGTAATAGGGAGTCACTTGAGTTGGTTTCTTTGTTGTCTCTGCTTGAGGAGGTTTCTTTGGCTCCTCAAAGGGGGGATAGGAGGGTATGGACCATCACTTTGTCGGGAGTCTTCTCATGTAAATCTATGTTTGACTGAATTATTGATGTGCCTTCCATTCTTTTATTTCCTCACCACAAAAAAATTTGGAAATCAGTTCCTTATAAAGTGAAGTTCTTTATGTGGTCCTTAGCTCATGGGAATGTCATAACCATTGATGCGCTCCAAAGAAGAAGGCCCAATCACTCTCTTGGTCCTCAATGGTGTATGATGTGTAAGAAGGATGCGGAATCGGTGGATCACCTATTTCTACATTGTCCCATGGCCTTTGCACTTTGGCAGCGACTCTTTGGTCTGTGTGATGTTCAGTGGGTTGCTTTGCAAGAGTGCATGCACATGATGCTAGTTTTCTTTGGAGAGTTTGGGAAAAATATGAAGGCCAAAACATTGTGGTCTTGAATTGTTTGTGTGATCTTTTGGATCATTTGGTTGGAAAGAAATGACAGGATCTTTAACGAAAAGGAAGCAACAGAGAAAGCTTTTTGGGGCAGGGTGAGACACATTGCATCAATTTGGGCTTGTGTGTCTCCTCCTTTCAAGTATATATCCTTGTTTTTGATTTCTAGGGATTGGGCTGATGTTTGTCATGCGTAGTGCTGGTTGTGATGTGTTGTAGCTCTCGTTTCTTTGGTCTCTATCTTTGTATCTTCTGACTTTGTAAGAGGACTTCTTGTCCTCCCTTTGTTATTTTCTTTGTTTCAATAAAATTGTTTTGTTGTTGTTCAAAAACAAAAAAAAAAAAATGTCCCATTGCCTCATATTCACCAATAAAAATAAAAGATACCTAGGACTGGACTATAGGAGACGAAATCTCTTCATAGTTGGGGGGGCCCCAATCTTTGCTAAACTCCTCCATTATAAGGATTTAAAAGATGCCTGATTGGGTTGCCAATGGGGGTCTAGTGACCGGAGGCATGTGGCAAGGAGGCAATGCCGCACATGCGATATTGGGATGGCACAAAACTACATTCTTGAGGAAAGCAACTCTCCTAGTATAGTAAATATCCAATCTTGCATGACAACAGTGATACTTGCAGTAATCTAGACGCATAATACATCTCATTAGGAATCACTGCATCGGAATCTCATGGATCTACCAATCTGCTAACTCACACATGAATTCTTTTAACAAAAGGAAAATATATTTGAGGCATGCTAAGTTGGACATTCATGAATCGTCATAACTAAAACTTAACCATGGAAATTTTGTAATTCCAGCTTCTACTAGCATACCTTTGGCGTCTTTAAACCTAGAAGGATTCAATCCTTTCTGAGCAGTTTGAGCTTTGTTAACCTATATGAAATGCCTAACAACATAAGTTCAACATCCAGCAAAGTTGAATGTGGCAGCCCAAAAAAAAAATAACAATGAGACAAAAATCAGAAAATTTTGATTTTAAAAGGAACACAAGCAACTTACAGCGTTAAATAGCTTGACCACTGAAACTTCAGCAATACACATGGAAAACATGAACTTCATTAGTTTGCTATTGGAAAAAATATGATTCAAAAAGCATTTGTTCTAATAACATAGATCTCATTAGCAAAAACAAAACTCATTACCTCCTTTTGTAGCAACTCCTATAAGAAACTTTTCATGCGAGTCCAAGAAATTGGCAGGCTTCACATGCCCCTTCTCCCCTACCTTTTCAGAATTACAAAATAATGTAATGTAAATCTAATTGAATTGGAAGGGAAAACAGAATGAGTGCCCATTATTACACAGACATGTGAAACTTGAATCATGACAGAAGAACATTGCGCTGAAGTTTAAATGAAATTACCAAATGTTTCTCCTTCTTTGCCTCCCCCTTGACTTTCCGTTCCGCATCTTCTTCAGCAAGCTTCTCTGCCAATAGCTTCTTGTGTGCTGATAATACTGGACCCTGCAAAGACATTGAACTTCATACAAGTTCATAAATTAAAACCAAGATCATAAACCAAGAATCTTATTTACCAGCAGATCATCAGAAACATTCTTCTTCACAATTTTCTTGAATGCCATCCTGAATGCTTTACAGCCTTCCATGAACTTTGTAATTCCAGGCTGAATTTCACCATCTTCATCTTCAGACGCTTCATTTTCCATGCCATCATTCTGATGTTCCTCTCCTTCCTCATCCGAAGATTTTCCATCAAACAACTCATTTTTGTACCGTGGTTGATAATTTCTATCTCTAGTAACAGGGGAAGGCTCCTCCTCGTCATCATCATCAGAATTGTAATCCCTCACCCTTTTGCGAAATAGTTTCTGCATCTTCTTGTCTACTTTAACCTTCTCCCCATTTCCCTTAAACACTTTTAATTTCTTCTTTCCCTTACTGCCCTTCTTGTGCCCTATTCTCCTCTTCTTTGGGCCTTTACCTACTTCTTGTGTATGCGCCTCTTCAGCCATGGACTAGCACTAATTTCTGAATGAAATACAGTTCAACCCTTTACAAGTAACAAAATGGGTATCAGTCCAGTGCTCTCAAAATGTCAAATGACAACAAATATAATCCAAGTACATCACTGAGAATAACAGGAACCAATAGCATGAAATAGGGTTTATGTCTCAATCTAATTCAACATATATATATATGTATGCGTATCACAAAAAATTAATAAATTTCTGCTAATTCATACATAGCAACAAATTTTTACTAAAACTCTAAAATTATTATTTCTCAAAAGTTTTTCATTAATCTAATCAACCCAAATGTGAAAAAAAAAAATTCCAACCACAGTACATAAAATTATAGCAAAACAATACCTAATTTATGAAGAGTACATAAATTTGCCTTGTTTCAATCTAATTCAACATATATATATGTATGCGTATCACAAAAAATTAATAAATTTCTGCTAATTCATACATAGCAACAAATTTTTACTAAAACTCTAAAATTATTATTTCTCAAAAGTTTTTCATTAATCTAATCAACCCAAATGTGAAAAAAAAAATTCCAACCACAGTACATACAATTATAGCAAAACAATACCTAATTTATGAAGAGTACATAAATTTGCCTCGTTCAATCTTTTTTTTTTTTAAGATAAATAATTCACTGAACAAACAAAACTAGCAAAAAAAAATAGCCCGCCAAAAAGAACAGAAATAACGAATGAACAAAAAGAGAATGAGTAAATAAGAAGAAAAAAATGAAGAAACTAGCAATAACTATCAGTTTATGTCATTGAACAAACAAAAATAACAAAATAAACAAAACCTAAACCCCAAAAAAAAAACAGAAATATGACATAAAAAATGGATGAAAAATACCCATAAAATGATTGAATTGAATCAAATCAAAGTAGGGATGTTTAAAATCTATACAAAATCCCATAGAACTATATACAATACCCGAAAATTTGAGAGAGAGAGAGAGAGAGAGAGAGAGAGAGAGAGAGACCTCTGGCGAACAATTGAAGTGAATTTGCAATCACAACTTTAGCTTCAAAACAGTAAGCAATGGAACTGTCTTTACAAACAAACCCTAGAAAAAAACGACGTATACACGAGGGCAATAAGTAATCCGGTTCACCATTGAACCGTCCTGGATCGAACCGGCTTCCATTTCAAGGCCACTTAAAGTTCGGTCGGTCTAACTTTTTATTTTCTTTTTTTTTATAGATAAATTACACTTTGCCTCCCTAAAGTTTCACTCATTTTTCATTTTGACCCTTTAAGTTTGATTTTTTTTACTTTAACCCTTCATGTTTACAATTCTTTCCACTTTGGCCCTTTAAATTTGATTTTTCTCACTTTGACCCTTCATATTTGCAATTATTCTTACTTTGACCTTTCATGTTTGTAATTCTTCTCACTTTACTCCTAAACTAACTTCTATCCAAAAAACTAATCGAATTTGCCACATCACTAACACATCAGCTCCATGTGTAATGTAAAAATTTTATTAAAGATGCAAAAATGAGAAATAGAAAACAAAAAAATTAAAAAAAAAATTTAGTTTTTAGTTAACTTTTTTCCCTAAATTTATTCATAAACATTATTAACTTATAGATGCATCTAGATTAGATGCACATAAAAAAGAAATAAAAACAAATCTAACTAAAAACATAAAAAAAAATTTAAAGACAAAACAAAAATAAAAATATGCTGACTCAAACACCTATATTGTCAATTCTGAAATGAAACGTTAACTATCGTTATTTCGTCTTTAGTGAACTTTTTTCTTTTTTGAGTTAAATTTGTTTTTATTTTTTTTAGGTGCATCTAATCTAGATGTATCTTTAATGTAATAATTTTATGAATAAATTTGAAAAAAAAATACTAAAGTCTAAAATAAATTCCAATATTTTGTTTTCTATTTTTAATTTTTTACATCTTTAGTGATTTTTTACATCACACATAGTGTTGATGTGTCAGTGATGTGGCAGATTCTCTTAGTTTATTGGATGGAAGTTGGTCTAAAAGTAAAGTGGGAAGGATTGCAAATATAAAGTGTCAAAGTAGAAAAAATCAAACTTAAACGGCCAAAACAAAAAATGGGTGAAACTTTTAGGGGTAAAGCGTAATTTACCTTTATTTTATTTATATATATAAAAAAAAGAGTAAAATCTTTATAGCAATTATTAATGGGGATGTTGATGTTTTCTGTAAATAAATAAATAACTGAAATTTGTCTAAAAAATTAACCAGACGAAATTACTCAATGGAGAGAAGTTTTAATGTAGGCTTTCGATTTTTTCATTTTATTACTTCTTTATTTAGCTAATATGTTAAATTGATCATTAAAATTGCGTTATGATATTGTTGGACTCAATTTATTATAAGAAAAATTACATTAGGATAAATTATAAATACACTTCTTGATATTTGATTAACAGAAGGTTTTTAATTTCATAACAAATTACTCATTTTATTAATAAATTATCAAGTTAATTAACAATTTTTAATAATGTTATAAATATGTTTCAATTAATAATTTAAGTAATTTATTATATAGTAGAACAATTATGAATTTCATTTTTTTAGTTAATTCTGTTAAATAAAAAATTCTAACAATGGGGTATTTGTAATTTTTCAAACCACAGAAGATAATCTGTATTTTAAACAAATCTCAATGGGTGTATTTGTAATTTATCCATTACATTAGAATGAAAAAGAAGATGAGAATATTAAAATTTAGTGAAATAATCAAAATTAGTTGCAACATTTATAGAAGTTTTAATTTATTTATTTTTTTTAAATATAACAAAACTAGTGAAATCATCCAATTCTTTTCTGTTTTCTTGTCTTTTCTCTCTTCCTTGAAGTTCTAGCATGCCAAGAACCATTCTTCATTTACTCTTCTCGTTGCCATCACCTCTCCTATCCTTTTATGCTTTCTTTTCGTTTATCTCTGTCTCTCTGAAATCCTAACAAGCCAGCAAACCCTCTTTCTCTCTCGCCACTACATACACGACGATCATTAAAAATGATCGCTAGGGTCACCTAGCGATCGTATCACAATACCTCACCAGGTACTTGCCTCTCTTCTTTTAGGGGTTTGATTTTGGGATATTTGAAATTAAATTCAATCTAGGTGTGGCTGGAGAAGGGTAAGGAAGGAGCTAGTGATGTTGGCAGCATGAAAAGGAGGGGAGGTGAAAAGAGACTGAGGTGGCTAGGAAAGGAAGAGTAAGAAGGCTGGTCCATGGGGCACCATCAAAATTGTAGAGGCATGGAAAGAGGAGGGAAAGGGCATTAACAACAATTTAAAAGTAGTATGACTGTTTTGTTAATTTTTTTTTTATACAATGGTTTCATTTTATTTATTTTTTTCATTCTAATAATCATATTTAGTTTGACAAATAATGCACACACATGGAATGTGTTACTTCTAATGCATGTATTTAATTAGGGAAATACTCACACGGTATATACCATATGCACCTTATAACTAAAAAGATAAATGACATAAATTCAATTTTTTAAATCATTAACTATAAAAAAAAGGTCATAACTAAATACAATATGAGTCATAATTAAATTAGAATATTAGTCATAACTGTAAAAAAAAATTACATAATTAAGGATACATTAAACGGTGTATATTAGAATTTCTCATTTAATTTAAACACCTATTTAATCTATAGTCATTGGTCTCTATAAACGTGTATATTTAGAATCCAATTAAATATGGTCGCTCACTCTTCTATCTATCTCTATCCAAGTTATGTTAGGAATCCCAAATATTCTATCAAACGTCTCACATGGGTGTAGGACCCACACACGTGTGGATTTATGTAAGTTTTACCCTATATGAGAGGTTTGGTAGAATATTTGAGATACATAACATTTCTCATCTCTATTCTGATGTGCATAATTGTGGTAAACGTAGTCAAACCTATGTCCATTGTCAAAGACATCATCCGTGCCATTCTTAGTGTTGTGGGCATCTATATCGGTGTCGCATCACGAGAACCACAATACGTTAGACTCCGTCCAGATATTGTTGATGATTCCTTCCTAAGCCCCTCCTGGGGGAGTTTCATAGAAGGACCACATCAATTCAATTTGATGCCCTATGTGGTGGCAATCATTGCTACCTCTTGAAAAAGATTACTCTATTTGCTTGACAGAGATTGAACCCGATGAGGAGTTAAACCACATTACTTGTGGCCATGTTTTCCATAAAACATGCTTTGAGAAATGGTTGATGCATTGGAATATCTCATGCCCTCTTAGCAAGAGTCACATTGTTCCTCAAGATGTGGAAGACATTGATGGGGTATTGATATAGTGACAGATGATGGTGTCAGAGTTATAGGTTAGAACAAACCATGGGTATAGTACAAAGGAATATGATAGAAGCTATCAAAAATTCGCGCAAACTGACTTAGATATCCAATTATCAAAAAGTCACGATGTTTAGCATAGTAGTAATAGTGAGAGTTTTACATGTATGCATCAACTAGCCTTGTTTATAGATTAGAGTCACGAGTTGGGATTCTCTGCAATAATCACAACTTATGATAATCTTGCAATGCTAACTTAAGAACTCAAAATGCGTTTTGTAAGATTATCACAAGCAGGGGCGGAGCCAAAGAAGGCCCATGGGTCATGTGCCCACCCTTTCAATTTTAAACTTTTTTTGTTTTTATTTTGTGGTCATATATAAAATCTATTCTTTTTTTTCTTAACATGTTTTTTGGCTAAGACTTTATTGTATTGTTCACAATAAGTAGTTATTTGATACTTTGGGAGCACTATGTGGTATTGTTTATGTAGTAGTCTAAATCAATAGTGTAATAGGAAATCTTATGGATTAAATATAATTAGCTCATTATTTTCAGGTAGTTGACAAATTACTTAGTGTGATTTGTGATTTCTCATGCTTTGAGCATCACATAGACAATGCCATATGGTACTCTAAGACTATTTTATAATTTCCATTCAAAACACATCAATTATAACCAATATCATCTGAGAGGGGTAAATTATATGCTTGAGTTGGGCCGAGCTAGGTCCATTTGTTTTAAGAGTCGGGCCGAGCTCAGTAAGCTCAATTCGTTGAGGCATGCTTCTGGCTGAGCTAGGAGCTTCGGTAGCTCGGTCTTGAGGTGCACAAACATTAGGCCGAGGTTTGGAACAGATGAGCTAGATGTAATCAGCAGCTTAGACCGGGGTATGATTTGTATCGTACCGGACTGGGGTTTATCTCGGTCAGGTACCATCTTGGTTTTGTCTAGCGTAGGGCAGGGCCATGCTAGCTCGGTTGAGTGTACTACCGAGCCGAGATAAGAGGTTTGAGCCATCTCACTTGGTTGGTATTGGGTAGAGTGTTATCTTTGGGAGTGTGATTCTTAGCAGGGCGAGAGTTGAAGTCCTACTAAGATTTGTGCCAGGTGAGAATCTATAAAAGCTCATAACAGGACCTATGTAAAGGCATCACAATTCTCATCCTAGAATACACAGAGTTTTTGTGTCTATTTTGTAAACATAAAATTTCAGAACATAAACCTTACACTTTGGATCATTTACCATGTGTATTATCAAGAGATCAAGACAAAATGACATACTTGAATCCATTAATGAACGGTTAAACGGAAGCGTCTGATTGTCAATAAAACCTTAATATTGACTTTGTTAGAGCCTTCTAATCCTTTCCCTACATAAATTCAATTTTTTAAATCATTAACTATAAAAAAAAGGTCATAACTAAATACAATATGAGTCATAATTAAATAAGAAAATTAGTCATAACTGTAAAAAAAAATTACATAATTAAGGGTACATTAAAGGGTGTATATTAGAATTTCTCATTTAATTTAAACACCTATTTAATCTATAGTCATTGGTCTCTATAAACGTGTATATTTAGAATCCAATTAAATATGGTCGCTCACTCTTCTATCTATCTCTATCCAAGTTATGTTAGGAATCCCAAATATTCTATCAAACGTCTCACATGGGTGTAGGACCCACACACGTGTGGATTTATGTAAGTTTTACCCTATATGAGAGGTTTGGTAGAATATTTGAGATACATAACATTTCTCATCTCTATTCTGATGTGCATAATTGTGGTAAACGTAGTCAAACCTATGTCCATT